GCTTTTTGACCTATGTTACCGAGAGCCTTCAATGCACTACTTCTGACAGAGGCATCGGTATGTTTGTTTTGCAGTAGGAGTGTATTCACTAACGAAGGAATAGGATTCGTGAGTGGAATAGACGATATGAATGAAAGCACTCGATTAAGATTGGTTGTTTGCGGATTCGTTAATAACTTATTCAGCGTGGTTTGAACTTCTGGTTCGTTGCAGATTGTACTACATGATAGAAGAGTCTGGTTTAAAGAATCGCATAAGTACGATGGTTGCACAATAAGAGCATATTCAATCCAGCTTATGATCATATCCATTAATCGATTGCTATGAATGAACGTTCTCTTGCAGCCTATCTCATCAAAACAGGATATCACAAGATCCATGTGTCGTATGCCAACAAAATCTACAGGCTCACTCAATAGGGTATCCCAGAATGTGTTGATACTTTGCTGTTCATCACGCGTATTTAATAGGCCAGATGCAAAAATGAAAACTAATTGAAATCTTGGGTTGTATTTTTGTTTCTGAATGAAGTCAATTGCCTTGGCACGTGTGGTACCTGACAGAGCCTTGGATAAATAACGAGCTGCAAAATATTCTTGGAAACTGAGATGGACAAAGTAATAATCTTTGTCTACTTCGATTTGTGTTCCAGTACCGTGTTGAGTGGGCGATTTTACTATTCCAAGATTGAGTAAATGGGGATGATCAACTAAGGAACAATTACTCTCTTTCTCAGCTTTTTCGAGTAATTCTGGACCTAGAAGAATAGCATTACTTTCCATTCCATGAAAAGCCAGTGCTTCTAAGAATGCTAATTCATTGTGACAATATTGATAAATTTTATTTTTACGCATCAGATTAATCTGGTTGGTTGACATTCGTCTTTGCCTCTCCAAATATCGACGACAAATCCATTCAGTCAATTTACCGTAGAGTACCGTCATCGTTATTATTTTTGTTTCTGACCAATCATTATTACTCCAAACACTGCAAATGAGTTCTAGATTGATTGGAATATGCGCAATACCCCAAATCCTAGGGTTCAATTTGAGAAAGCTGAGTAATTTCTCATATTGGTCTGATGAATTTTGTGACTCATTTCCCAACTGGTCGAAGAATAGCTTGACATAATCGGGGATATTTTCATTTGTAAAGCCTGTAATTTCCATCTGCACAGGGTACGGTAAAGTATTCATGTATGGACGAGATGTAATGATGTGATGTGGAGTCTTGAGCAATTGTTCGAATAAACTTTACAGATGTGAAGATCTATTCTGTACTGTTTCATCACAACCATCCAAAAGCCACAGAATATGATTTTCACGAAGTTCTTGTTGTAAAAGTTGTTTATTGTTCTCTGATAGAAAAGGATAAGAGACATATTCCTTTTCGACGATGTCAACTAGGGAATAAATGGTGTCAATTGGATAACGATATTCTGTTAAAGATCGTAAAGGAATGAGCACAACTAGTTCATATTCTGGCCAAATTGCACCAGTTGCCCATTGGTAGGCAATATATCGACAAAATGTTGATTTTCCAATACCAGCTCGACCAAAGACTAGCACCTTTCTAGTCTGATCTTTGCATGTTTTAAAAATATCTTTGACATCGATTGGTGTCTTACTGCCATAAATTTGTTCGAATGTACCCATAATTGTATCAATGTTCTGAGTATTACGAAGTTTCTTTTCTTTTTCCTGATGTTCTTTCGTTTCTTACTATGGCCAAATTGATGTAACTCTGTTCGATGGGAAAAGATTTTGATGGATTCATAAAGCGTTCTATTGTACTATTGCGTATATACTCGTATTTGATCAGTTCGAATAGAATATTGGGTCGTGTCGAATTATCTTCCGGTACATATTGTAGATCTTGCAGTTTCCAGATTAAGGAATTCGCTTTTGACTGGATGCTTGAGTTTGAAAGATGACGAAAATCAACATATTCGGCTCTTTGTATCATAGGTTTCAGCCAGTCGACAGGTTCCCAGTTTTCTTCAGCTCCGATCAGACACGGAATGATCTTCTTATGAAGCTTATTCGCATACTGTAGTTCTATTTGACAGCGGGTCGATTTTTCGTACTCTGGACTGATAAAACAACAAATGAATGCTGCATTTTCCACTCCAAGTGTCTGACTGAAACATAGACATACAGATGATATTAGTACAGTCAGTCTCACGATGATAATTTGAACGCATATACCTGTCGTAAATATTATCACTTCTTCTGTCCTTATCAAACCAAATAGGAATCGATTGATTGCGCAGAACTTGAAGTATTTGTAAGATGATAGCTTCATCACTGACATCATGGGAAAACATGATGTGTTTGCCTTGTGGTACGCTTGTACTAGAAGATAGAAATGTCAACAATATATTTGTGTCAACGATTGATGATTCTCTCAGAAGCTGATGTCACTAATGTGAATGAGAAAGATTCATAGCACCCAAAGTTACTTATGCGAAAGATTAACTGTCAGGTGAAAACAATTCACTCACTATTCTTTGAAAGAAAGCATGAGTGGTCCGTTGTTGACTTGAAGTGGTTCACTTGTGAGATATATTCGTGTACCTGGAATAAGGATAACTTCCTGTTCTTGAGGATTAGCTGAATACTGTGAAACATCTCTGCCATTTATCGTTTCAATAGCATAAAAGGTACCCGTGTTGTCGAGAAAAGGCTCGATGATCTTGAGATCTTTCGAAGTAGAAGTTACTGCCCACCAAGTTTGAATAGCATAATCAGCAGGGTTAAAATTGATTCTCTTCGATAGACCGCGCCACACAGTACCCTTGAATGAAGGTAACTTGTTGAGAGCGGTAATGAAGAGTTTCAGGTAGATGAACCATGGTTTTAGTGCCTCTCTGTCCATAGCACGAAGATTATGGTTTAGTGTCGAGAAAAATGGGCTACCCATCGTGTAGAGATAGATAGCTGCAGATTCGTCTTCTGTTAATATACTCGTTTTCCTGCATTTTAGCTTTGCTTGTGTGACGTAATTAATGACGCTAGGAATGACATGTGTGATGCTTTGAACAGCTTCTTCCAATGTCACGATTCGTTGGTCTTCGTAACCATAGATCGGACTTAAACTTTCATCGTGATGGATAGTATCAGGTTCGTCCAAAAATTTGTTTTCCATCGTTGTTTTTCTCCGTATGACGAATAGATCGTAGATAATCTAGAACGATAGATACAAGTCGAATGAAGTTGGAGATTGAAAATTAGCAGGATGGGTATGGGTGTGACTGTTGGTGTTTGCTATTCCTCTTTATCCACACCCACCCACACCCTGTGTCTATACCATTGCGCAAATTCTATTATAATTGCTCGAGTTCCTTGCTATGTTATCTCATAAAAATTAAAAATTGTACCTTTCATTACTGATATTCCCGGTGCAATGTAAGTATAAAAAAGTTAATGTGTTTAACGTAGTTTGCAGTAAGACTATAATGCATGTAAGAGCCTCTTCAATCAAGACAATCGATTTCATATCCTGATTATCACCAAGCGGAGCTCTCGTAAAGCTACTTCCATTTTTTGCTTGTTTATAGTCATTCTTTACTTTCAAATTTAATGTTATCACTAGTCTAAGAATGTTGGAAATTAAATATACTTACATGTTAGTTAATAGTTGAGTGTACAAATTTTGTTTGATGTACTTGCAACAGGTTTTATTCTGTATTTATAATCGATAACATTACTTGGTTTTTTCCCACAAATGTATGTTGTTTACGTGAATCAGTGGACCATGATATTTTTTTCATCGCGTAGACAGCTTTTTTCCAACCACGTGCTCATCATCACATACATTTTGTTCTTCATGTGTTCTTCCTCTTTTTTTACTTAACCTTGCATGTCGTGATGTTGTGATGAAAAAAGATACACTGATATTTGCATGCGCTTAAATTTGAGTTGTAAATGAAATTTTTAATAAATCGAAAAATGAAGTAAAAAAATATATATGAAATTTTTTTTGTTTTTTTGTTGATGAACTTTTGACGCTGTTGGTGTGATCGTCAGTGTAATAAAAAGATGATTCATTGGACATTGACATTGACATTGATTCTGATTTATATAAATGTCGGAGTTGACTTTAAAATTCCGTTGCCTTTAAAAGGCAACTAGTCGATTTTTCAATTTCAAAATCAACTATCCTTTATTTTGGGTGTGGGTGTGGGTGTGCCTGGTTTTTACTAACACCCACCCACACCCACCCACACCCACCCACACCCACCCACACCCACCCACACCCACCCACACCCACACCCACACCCACACCCCGAAGACGGATTGTTTCGGTTCGAACTCCAATCAATTTTTCATAAAGTCAAATCGGATTTAGTCGAACTGGAGTTAAGTAGTTTGACAAATAGTCGAATGCAGTCTAAGGTTAGACGAAAAATAATAGATGGGACTGTAGTCAATTTGAAAAGATATTTTATCATTGGTAGCGATAAAATAAACTTTATCGAATGCTATATATGCATAATATCTATATATATACGTATGAAGTTACAGTAAGCGCCATAAGTGGCGCCGTCCTCTATTTCTTGTTCAACAATCACCTTTGTTTCATTTTTTTGCTTTGTTTGAAGGGACTATTCATACTCATCATCTGACATAAATAAGAGCATTTATATTCTTTCTGTTATCGATTTATAACTGAGTAAAAAATGGACATTTTCTTAAAGAAAATATGGGAAATCGTCTTTTTATAAAGGCCGAACTGTGTCCCACACATGTCAAATGCTGATATTTCACGATATGTACGAATCAGTGAATCGACTGTGAAATATGGGTTTGAAAGGTATAAAATAGCTGGTGGCGTAGAAGTTACACAAAAATCCGGTCTATAACGGAAAAGCAAAATACAACAATTCGATCGATGGTAATTCAATATTCAACTGAATCTGTCGGTCAAATTGCATCTAGGTTATCAAAGAAAGGTATAAAATTTAGTAAAATCATATTAAGAAGAAGATTTGAAGAGGCTAGTGTACATTCAACGAAATCGACTTCGAAACCATTGCTAGCAAGTGACGTTATTTTAAAAAAGACTCCAGTGGGATATAGAACACAGAGACTCTAACCCAAATGAAAATCTCTGGGCATTAAGGAAGCTCAGAATAAACAAACAACAGCATATATCGATCAATAATTCCACTAGAAGAATAAATAAATGCGGAAATCTCGGATTTATATCCGAGAGTATGTGTACTTCAAAAAGTGAATGAGACAAATCGGTCACCTTGGAATGTCTGGATATAAAAATTTGCCTGGCAAATCCTTTCTATAAACCCTTGAATTCCCTTGGCTACTGCTCAATCAAAAGGACTTGGAAGCGTATACAGCTCGGATTTGAACTCTTCGGCCTAAATTAGCCTCAGAAAGTCGTTTTTCCTATAACTTGATTTCTATTGGTCAATGCTCGACCAATGGGCCTTCGAGGCGAGTGCGCAGTACAGATTCGAGTTCTCCATACTAGGAAACCTTCAATTATCACCTCTATAATCGGAAGATAGAGTTCCTATCAGGGATCGATTGGAGCGTGCACAAAAACCGAACCGATTCCCGCTTATTTATCTTACCAATAGGTGAGTTAGTCTTCTTCTTTCTTAATGTTTTATATATCATTTTGTAGCTCTTGAAATTCTCTATCGAATGGTATATAATAGTTGGTGTTTTAATTGACAATGATAGGAAAAGTCTTTTACGAAAGTGGCGATGGATCGATTTTCCCATAGGAAGCCATAGGGAAAAATGGGTATTTTTGCAATAACTCAGGAACGGCTCGGCCGATCCTTCTCATCTTCGAACTCGGCCGAGATATTGTAAAGACTGAACTATGTAGAAAATTTCATCGCGATCGGACTCTCCTTTCGAAAGATATCGTGTAAACGGCCGGACGGCCGGACACACTGACCGATTCTAGAGTGTACTCACTTTTTGAGTACACAAAAACAAAGACGAGAGAAAATTCACAAAAACTCACCTACTCAAGTCAACTTCGCTGGAAGAGAGAGTTATTAACTTTTTCTTTTCCTCTCACATACTCGGTTTCTTTGATTTTCATTCCATGGAGTGTTTTGCTCTGAATCAGAATTTCTGTGCTTGTCAGAGGAGAAAAAGACAGAGCAGGAGAAAACTTACAGAAGCTTACCTTTGCCATATGTGTAATACTTAAGACTTGAATTCAATTATTCAATTATTCAATTATTCAAGTATTCAACTATTCAACTATTCAAGTATTCAAATATTCAAATATTCAACTATTCAAGTATTCAACTATTTACGTATTCAACTATTTAACTATTCAAGTATTCAACTATTCAAGTTTTCAACTATTCAACTATTCAACTATTCAAGTATTCAAATATTCAACTATTCGAGTATTCAACTATTCAACTATTCAAGTATTCAGCTATTCAACTATACAAGTATTCAACTATTCAAGTATTCAAGTTTTCAACTAGGGTGTGGGTGTGGATGTGGATAAAATGGACACCCACACCCGACACAATTTGAGAAACATGACAAGTAAATAATGATAGAGTGTGGGTGTGTGTAAACTGAGAATGTCAACAACTTCCAAACGCGAACACTCACACCAATATTCACCCACATCCACACCCTACATTGAGACCGCA